CATTAGTAAGACCACACTTGGAATACTGCATCCAGTTTTGGTCACTACGATACAAAAAAAAGATGTTGAGACTCTAGAAAGAGTGCAGAGAAAAGCAACAAAGATGATTAGGGGACTGGAGGCTATAACATTTGAACAACCATTGAGGCAACTAGTCTACTGTCTAGTCTAATGAAAAGAAGGATTGGGGCTGACATGATAGCAGTGTTCCAATATTTGTGGGATTACCACAAAAGAAGAGGGGGTCAACCTATTTTCCAAAATATCTGAAGGCAGGACAAGAAGCAATGGATAGAAACTAATCAAGCAGCGATACAACCTTCAAATAAGAAGAAATGTCCTGGTTGTGAGAACAATTAACCAGTGAAACCACTTGCCTCCAGAAGTTGTGGATGCTCCAAACCTGGAAGTTTTTAAAAAGAGATTGGACAACCATTTATCTGAAATGATACAGAGTTTCCTGCTTGAGCAGGGAGTTGAAACTGTTGAAGTTAGTGTGGCAAGAGCTGGTACTGTCAATGTTCCGATGGACGAACCCAACCAAAGCAAGCTCGAGACGATCCAATCTCCAAATCCAAAACTTTATTGAGGACATCATTTTGGCACTGATTAAGGCAAAACAAGCTCTAGCTAATTCCCACGTAAACCCACATAATTAAAGTATAGAATTCTCTCTTCCCCTATTAGTGTAGGTCACATTGTCCAATTGAATGTCAATGTATTGTTATGAGAAAAAGTCTTTGGGTTTGGCAAACACCTGTGGAAGTGTCCTTGGCTCTCATGGCTCATCCTCTTGATATCTGGAGCCTACGTTCCATTTTACCCTTCCCCGGTTCATTTGCAAGCTGAGAAGCGATAACAGTTGCAACAGCATAAGCGTGCTTCAAACTTGATAGGTACATTCCAATGTCTCTCTGAATCTCTGCCTAACTAATTTTACTCTGACTGATGACGTTGCTTGGGTGAGCAATGAAATATCTCAGATCAACAAAGTATGGTCCAGTTGCCATAATTCAATCTACATCTTTGGCCTAGATGATTGAATCTTCATTGACACAGTGGAATGGCTTCGTCTCCAGAAGTTGTGGGTTTCCATCATTGGAGATTTTTAAGAAGAGATTGGACATCCATTTTATTTGAAATGGTATAAGATCCCCTGCTTGGACAGGTAATTGGACTAGAAGACTTCCAAGGTCCCTTCCAACTCTATTATTCTGTATTCTGTAAAGTCAGCTAGATATTGCCACCTGCTGAGGGATACAATGTACGACTTATTACATATTTCAACTAAATTTGTTCCTCCATCCGCTGACTCATTCTGATGGGTAAGGTCTTGGATAGAGGGATATTTTCAGGGAGGGTCTACAAAACTAAGATCAGTGGTGGGCTGTTCGGGGTTCGCAGGGGTTCAGGAGAACCTCTACCTAAGATTCTGTTCAGTTCGGAGAAGCCCCAAATTCCACTCCTGGCTGGCCCCTCCCACCCCGCCCCTCCCAGGAGTTCCCATACAGCCCATTTTGGATGCAGGTAAGTGCAGGGGGTGTGTGGAGGCTTGGGGAGGGCGAAAAACAGGCCTACCAGAAGTTCAGGAAGGCCAGAAACGGGCCCATTTCTGTTTCTGTTTCGGGCCTCCAGAGGGCCTCTGGAGCCTGGGGAGGCTATTTTCACTCTCCCAGAGGCTTGAGGAAAGCCTCTGGAGCCCGGGGAGGGCAAAAACGCCCCCCACCCCTGTGGTGCACGAGGCCAACTAAGCCACGCCCACCATGGACACACACCCCCAGCAACTGGGCAGAGAACCCCTTGCTAAAATTTTTGAAGCCCACCCCTGACTAAGATGGTTGCTGTGACTTTGCAATCAACATCCTGCTGTGAAACATGGGAGGTAGCACAATGGCAGCTTCCTTTTTTTGACCCTCAACCCATCCACCCATCCCCCATCCTGGATGTGCCTGCTTGGACAGCTGCTCCAAAATCCTTCCCACCCTGGTAAAAGGACAAGCATCCTTTTAACAGTGGAGCAAAAAAATAAAATAAAATCACTTCAATAAAACGACAGATGGAAATTGTTTTCAAATCCAAGCTGCCTGGGAGAATAAGATCTTTTAAAAAAATAATAATAAAAAGATAGAGAGAGAAGATAAGGTACTTTAGCCCCAAGCTAGGAACATTATTGCTTTCGCTCTCTTGACACGTAAACTGACAATGGGAGGCATGCGACAGTAACAATTTTTAATGCGGGAATCCCACAAGGCTCAGAAAAGCTTGGCTGGGATCTGCATCAGCTGCGCGAGGGAGTAAGCCATCACAGGAAGGACAGATAATTGTTCTTGGAAGGCTGGTGGGAGAGGGGATGGACGTTCTTGGGAGCAGATGCCTAGACATCAACCACCGTTGGCAAAAAACAACCTTCTGCAGCAGGGTTGCCAGCTCAGGAATTCTGGGAATTGAAGTCCACAAGTCATAAAGTTGCCATAGATGCCCACCCTTGCTCTACACCGCCATACATGTAAGGGTGAACTTTCTGTTACCAACCTGGATTTTTCTTTTTGCAAATACAATCCTTGGTTGCATAAACAGAGGCATAGAATCACGCAAAGCAGGGGTGCTATTCAGCAGGTTCTGACAGCTTCTGGAGAAGCGGTAGTGGAAATTTTGAGTAGTTCGGAGAACTGGCAAATACCACCTCTGGCTGGACCCAGAGTGGGGTGGGAATGGAGATTTTGCAGTATCCTTCCCCTGGAGTGGGGTGGGAATGTGGATTTTACAGTATACTTCCCCTGGCGTGGGATGGGAATGAGGATTTTACAGTATCCTTCCCCTGGAGTGGGGTGGGAATGGGAATTTTGCAGTATCTTTCCCCTGGCATGGGGTGGCAATGGAGATTTTGCAGTATCCTTCCCGTGCCATGGCCACCAAGCCACGCCCACCAAGCCACGCCCACAGAACTGGTAGTAAAAAAAATTGAATTCCAAAAAATGACGCAAAGTATTAGTACCGCTTTATAAAACCTTAGTAACACCACACCTGGAGTATTGCATCCAGTTTCGGTCACCACATTACCAAAAAAAAAATAAATGTTGAGATTTTAGGAAAAGTGTAGAGAAGAGCAACTAAAATGATTGAAGGCCTGGAGACTAAAACATAGAAAAAACGGTTGCAGGATTTAGGTTTGGCCAGTCTGAAGAAAAGAAGAAGTAGAGATGACATGATAAAAGTATTCCAATATTTGAGGGGCTGCCACAAAGAAGAGGGGGTTAGCTTATTTTCCAAAGCACCCAAAGGCAGGACAAGAGGTAATGGATGGAAACTAATCAAGGAGAGAAGCAACCTGGAATTAAGGAGAAACTTTCTAACGGTGAGAACAATTAACCAGTGGAACAGCTTGTCTTCAGAAGTTCTGGGTGCTTCATCACTGGTGGTCTTTAAAAAGAGACTGGACAGCTATTTGTCTGAAATGATATAGGCTCAAGCAGAGCAAGGGATTGGACTAGAAGACTTCAAGGTCCCTTCTAGCTATTGATTGAAATACAGAAGCACACCAAGCTTCTGAAGAGATGAATAACAGATTTCTTGGCAGGATTATGCACACCTCCAGAGTCCAGACGCCTCAAGGCATCCTTCCTACTCTTATCGCTGCTATTATGCAATAGTGAGACAATGCACTAAAATTAAAACTATAGGACAGTGATGGCTAACCTTTTTGCCATTGTGTGCCAGGAGCGGGGGCGGGGAGGGAGAGGGTCACGGACATGCGTGCCCATACCCATAATTCTATGCACTCCATCCTGCGCATGCACACGACTCCCCGCTCTCCCCCGCTCCTGGCAAGCGATGGCATGGTGGGCCCAGTAGGCCCGTTTTTCTCTCTCCCCAGGCTCCAGAGCCTTTCTAGGAGCTTGCGGAAGACAAAAATGGCCTTCCCCATCCCACCGGAGGCCCTCTGGAGGCTGGAAATGGTCCGTTTGCCAACTTCCGGTGGGACCAGAAGGCCCGTTTTTTGCTCTTCCCCAGCCTCCAGAGCCTTTCTAGGAGCCTGGGGAGGCCGTTTTTGCCGGCCCTCTGAAGGCCGGAAACAGGGCCCAGAAGGCCTGAAAATCAGTTGGCTGAGCTCATGTGCCCACCGATATGGTTCTGCATGCCACCTGTGGCACGCGTGCCATAGGTTCACCATCATGGCTATAGGATGTCTGGCTAGGTCAGGGGTCTCCAACGTTGGCAACTTTAAGACTTGTGGACTTCAATTCCCAGAATTCCTCAGCCAGCTTTGCTGAGGCTATAGGATGTCTGGCTAGGTCAGAGGTCTCCAGCCATGGCAACTTTAAGACTTGTGGACTTTAATTCCAAGAATTCCCCAGGCAGCTTTGCTGGCTGAGGAATTTTGGGAATTGAAGTCCACAAGTCTTAAAGTTGCCAAGGTTGGAGACCCCTGGGCTATGGAATTCTGGGAATTGAAGTCCACAAGTGTTAAAGTTGCCTACGTTAGACATCCCTGCCTTAGGGAGATAGAGGAGTTAGGACTCTGAGAAAGCGCCCCGAATTGCCATCGGCTCGACTTCCAAACGGTGCTGCAGATTTCCTTAGAAGTAAGGGCTCTCTAAATTCAAGATGGCTTATTCTGAAACGCTACCTCCCACCTCCAAATGCTGAACAAACTTGGAGGGTAACAGCCACCCACATAGAGTCTCACTCTCATACACTCACACACACACACACAAAACCATGAGAAAGAAGTAATCTCTGATTTAGCAAATATTTTCCCCTTCAGAAACCTGCAGGAAAATTCCAACTGCTAACCAAAGTCTTGAAATGTATTTCACTGGTGTGTCGTCCCGGCCCCCCCTCCCCGCGCATCCCGTTCCCCCTCCCCCGTTTGTAAAGCTTGCTTAATCTTATTTTATAGCAGCCCAGATGCCGCCTGAACAGAAGTTATATTTTGTCAGTTACAAAGGTTGGATTATATTTTGATTATGTGTGACCTTCCGGTGCTTTTTTTTCCACAGGCAATCACACAGCATTTGTCAATCTTCAACACTTCATTGTGGCGATTCATTGCTGTGCTACAGCAAACTGAAGGTGATAGGTAAAAAATAAATAAATAAATAAATTTTAAAAAACGAGAGAGAGGTTTGTAAAATGGAATATTCCTCCTCAGAAAAAGATCCTCTTTACCAGGTGTGGGCTGCCGGGGGTTCGCAGGGGTTCGGGAGAACCTCTCGCTATGATTCTGTGCAGTTCGGAGAACCCCCGAATCCCACTCCTGGCTGGCCCCGCCTACCCCACCCCGCCCCTCCCAGAAGTCCCTACACGGCCCCTTTTGGATGCAGGTAAGTGTAGGGTGCGCACGGAGGCTCAGGGAGGGCGAAAAATGGGCCTACCGGAAGTTCGGGAAGGCCGGAAATGGGCCCGTTTCTGGCCTCCAGAGGGCCTACGGAGCCTGGGGAGCCCGTTTTTGCCCTCTCGGAGGCTCAAGGGAAGCCTACGGAGCCCGGGGAGGGCAAAAACACTCCCCCTCCCCGCTGTGGTGCAGGAGGCCAACTAGGCCACGCCCACCATGGCCACGCCCACCCAGCAACCAGACAGAGAATCCCTTGCTAAAATTTTTGAAGCCCACTCCTGCTCTTTACATAGAAATCTGGTCTATCAGGGGCAAAAGGCTAAAATGATCTTCTCCCTGATAAGCTAGTTTTCCACATGGAGGAAAATTCTGAATGGAGAAACTTCTTCCCACTTGAAATGATAAAGGTCAGTCACACCCAAAGCATTAGTAAACATAGTATAGGTAGTCCTCTACTTACGACTACAACTGACCACAAAATTTCTCTTGCTAAGTGAGACAGTTGTTAAATGAATTTTTGCCCCATTTTACGACTTTTCTTGCCACCCTTGTTAGGTGACTCACTGCAGTCGTTAAGTTAATAACAAGGTTGTTAAGTGAATCTGGCTTCCGCATTGACTTTGTTTGTCAGACGGTCAGAAAAGGTGATCAGGTGACCCCGGGACACTGCAACTGTCATAAACATGAATCAGTTGCCCAAGCGTCCAAATTTTGATCATGCGGCCACACAGGGATCATGCTGCAATGCTTGTAAGTGTGTAAAATGGTCATAAGTCACTTTTTTCAGTGTCATTGTAACTCCAAACGGTCGCTAAATGAACAGTTGTAAGTTGAGGACTACCTGTATTATCCTGGATTGCTAAAAGTTTTGCAAAGGGTTGTAGGAAGTGGTCGATCCCACTGAATAGCTGTGTGTATCTATGTGCAGCAAACAGCTGCAGAAACAAAGCATTATTCAAAAGGCCAATATTTTTATTTTTAAATAATAAGATTTCAAGAACCAGTTACTTACTTTATCTTCAGACTAGCAAGCATGGCTTTGTCAATCCTGAAAAAAAAAAAGAGGAGAAAAGAATGTCAAGGAGATTATTTGGAGTCCTAATTTTTCTGTTAGGATCTCCCAACCCTTTTAAAATTGTGCCTTGGTGATCGGCAGGGGTGGATCTTTCCCTAAATCACATTTTATAACGGGGGACAAGGGAGGAACACAAGAGACAGTGTGGTGTAGTGATTAAAGCACCAGGCTAGAAACTAGGCAACTGTGAATTGTAGTTCTGCCTGGGTGAGCTTGGGCCAAGTCATTCTCTCTTAATAGCAATAGTACTTATGACAGTGGTGAAATCCAGCAGGTTCCGATAGGTTCTGGAGAACCGATAGCGGAAATTTTGAGCAGTTTGAAGAATCGGCAAATACCACGTCTAGCTGGCCCCAGAGTGGGATGGGAATGGCGATTTTGCAGTATCCTTCCCCTGGAGTGGGGTGAGAATGGAGATTTTGCAGTATCCTTCCCCTGCCATGCCACCAAGCCACACCCACCAAGCCACACCACACCCACCAAGCCATGCCCACAGAACCAGTAGTAAAAAATTTTGCATTTCACCACTGACTTATGACTTATATACTACTTCATAGTGCTTTACAGCTAGAGGTGGGCTGCTCGGGATTCACAGGGTTTGGGAGAACCTCTAGTTAAGATTCTGTGCAGTTCGGAGAACCCCCAAATCCTACTCCTGGCTGGCCCTGCCCACCACGTCCCTCCCAGGAGTCCCCACGCAGCCCGTTTTGGATGCAGATAAGTGCAGGGCCTGCGCGGAGGCTCAGGGAGGGCGAAAAATTGGCCTATCAGAAATTTGTGAAGGCTGGAAACAGGCCCGTTTCTTGCCTCCAGAGGGCCTCCAGAGCCTGGGGAAGTTGTTTTTGCCCTCTCGGAGGCTCAAGGAAATCCTCTGGAGCCCGGGGAGGGCAAAAACACACACACACCCCTCACCACTGTGGTGCAGGAGGCTGACTAGGCCACCCCCACATGGTCACGCCCACCCAGCAACCGGGCAGAGAACCCCTTGCTAAAATTTTTGAAGCCCATCCCTGTTTACAGCCCTTTCTAAGCAGTTTACAGAGCCAGCGTATTGCCCTCGACAATCTGGGTCCTCATTTTAACGACCTCGTAAGGATGGAAGGCTGAGTCAACCTTGAGCCTGGTGAGTTTCGAACTGCCAAATTGCAGGCAGCCGGCAGGCAGCAGTAGTAGCCTGCAGTACTGCACTCTAACCACTGCACCACTGTGGCTCTTAACTCCTAGGAAGCAGGCAATGGCAAACCTATTTACCAAGTTTGTAATTTCTACAAAATGACTGGGTGGGTCCAAAATCTCTCAAACTTCCGAAACCTTGCCGTGAAAAATGCAGGGACATGTGTCACCAGGAGTCAACAATAGAATAACAAGAGTTGGAAGGGGGACCTTGGAGGTCTTCTAGTCCAACCCCTTGCTCAAGCAGAAAAGGAGAGGAGCCTGGATGGTTCAACAGACTAAGCACTGTAATTTAACACCAGCTGTCTGCAATTAAAGTAAGATCAAATCTCGCCAGGCTCAAGGTTGACTCAACCTTCCATCCTTTCTAAGGTAGGTAAATTGAGGACCCAGTTTGTGGGGGCAATAAGCTGATTTTGTATAAAAATATACAAAAGTATGAAGGCTATTGCTTAATGCACTGTAAGCCGCCCTGAGTCTCCGGAGAAGGGCGGCATATAAATCAAATTTAAAAAAAACAAACTTGAACCATTTCAGACAAACTCTGATTCCAAAGCACTGTTGTGACTCCAACTCCCGAGCCCATCTTATCGGAGGGAGAAGACTCCGAAAGTGAAGGAGAGGAGTTGGCAAGGCCTCCCTCTCCAGGACCCTCCTCTCTGGCAATGCCTCAGGTGTCTCCCGAAGGAGAAGAGATAGGCCAGGAGCCAGGCATCTCCGAGCAGCTGCAGTTAGACTTCAACGGAGATAAGTCTCGGCTGGATCCCCACCAGCGTCGGAAAGACAAGCACAAGCAGCAGAGAAGGAGGCGTGCCAGAGATTAAGCTGAGTCACTGGACCACACCCCACAGGGGATAAAAGGGGGTGTGGTGGCCATTCAGGCTTTGTGACGGACAAAACTGAACAGCTAGCAAGTCATACTGTGTCTCTGGAACTTTGTTATCTGCTTTCCTTGGATTTATTATGGACTGGACTTGACAATTCTTTGGCTTTGTGAATTTATTTTGGTTTATCTGACGGAGGAGGAACACTTCCCTCTGTGAGTAAAGTTTTTGGCAAGCAGCTACTGGGTTGCTGCCAATTCTGTTATCAAAGGAAATTATTGTCTGCAACTTTATTTTAACTCCTGGCTGACTGTGTGCGTGTGTGAGACGGGGACAGAACAAGCACACGCAGACCAAAAAAAGAGCAATTTCATCCCTCCATCACGTTGTACACCGTGCCGAGGACCACAAACAGCAAGCGAGAAAACAATCTCTGCTTTTTTAAAAATGTGCCAAACCTGAGCTCCCACCCACCCAAAGGAGCCAATTATAAATCGGTATATACTAAACCAAATTCAGCAAACAAATACGCTTCAGTGTGAGCTGGCATTGGGTAAGACGCTTCCAATTTTCACTTTGGCACCTTAAATAACAAGGAACTCGTAATGCAAAAGACACATTTTTTGTTCAGCCTGCACCTTCTGAATCAGCCTGTTCCCTCCTGTAATGAAAGATTCAACAGCTGCCACTCCATAGTCGGGTTTTTTTTTAAATCTGAAAAGAAAAGAGCTCCATCTGTTTTATTCTCACCTGCAGCACAGTATCTTAGATCAGACTGCACACCAGGCTCTGATGAGTAATTTGGAGATGGGGGGGTGGGGGGAGCCAATACAGAACCATCCAGCTTGCAATTGACAGATCCTATTGGGTGGCTGCAAACCAGCTACAGGTAGAATAACAGAGTTGGAAGGGACCTTGGAGGTCTTCTAGTCCAACCCCCTGCTTAGGCAGGAAACCCTACACCACTTCAGACAAATGGTTATCCAATATCTTCTTTAAAACTTCCAGTGTTGGAGCATTCACAACTTCTGGAGGCAAGTTGTTCCATTTATTAATCATTCTAACTGTCAGGAAATTTCTCCTTAGTTCTAAGTTACTTCTCTCCTTGATTAGTTTCCACCCATTGCTTCTTGTCCTGCCCTCAGGTGTTTTGGAGAATAGGTTGACTCCCTCTTCTTTGTGGCAGCCCCTGAGATATTAGAACACTGCTATCATGTCTCCCCTAGTCCTTCTTTTCATTAAATTAGACATACCCAGTTCCTGCAACCGTTTTTTCATATGTTTTAGTCTCCAGTCCGCTAATCATCTTTGTTGTTCTTCTCTGCACTCTTTCTGGAGTCTCAACGTCTTTTTTACATCGTGGCGACCAAAACTGGATGCAGTATTCCAAGTGTGGCCTTACCAAGGCATTATAAAGTGGTATTAATACTTCACTTGATCTTGATTCTATCCCTCTATTTATGCAGCCTAGAACTGTGTTGGCTTTTTTTTTTCAACAGCTGCTGTACACTGCTGGCTCATATTTAAATGGTTGTCCACTAGGACTCCAAGATCCCTGTCACAATTACTACTATAGGTAGCCTTCAACCTACGACCATTCGTTTACCAACCATTCAAAGTTACAATGGACCTCACCTTACAAAAAAAATGTTGAGACTTTGAGGGGGAAAGTGTAGAGAACAGCCACTAAGACTAAGTCTGGAAACTAAAACATAGGGAGAACGATTGCAGAAATTGGGTATGGCTAGGCTAAAAAAAAAAAAAGGACTAGGGCTGACATAATAGCAGTGTTCCAGTATTTCAGGGGCTGCCACAAAGAAGAGAGGATTAACCTATTTTCCAAAGCACCAGAAGGCAAGACAAGAAGCAATGGATGGAAACAAATAAAGGAGAGAACTAACCTGGGATTAAGGAGAAACTTCCTAACACTGAGAACCATTAACCAGTGGAACAGCTTGCCTTCAGAAGTTATAGGTACTTCATCACTGGAGGTTTTTAAGAAGAAACTGGACAGCCACTTGTCTGAAATAGTATAGGGCTGTGATGGCAAACCTATGTGGAGCCATATCTGTGGGCACGCAAGCATTGCCCTAGCTCAGCTCCAGCGTGCATCTGCATGCCGGCCAGTTGATTTTCGGACCTTCCGGGCCCACCGGACGTTGGGAAATGGGCCGTTTCCAGCCTGCGGAGGGTCTTGGGGTAGGTGGGGGGGAGGCCATTTTCGCCCTCCCCAGGCTCCAAGAAAGCCTCTGGAGCCTGGGGAGGATGAAAAACGGGCCTACCAGGCCCACCAGTAATCTGGAGCCTGGGGAGGATGAAAAACGGGCCTACCAGGCCCACCAGTAATCTTTTTGCCATCGTGTGACAAAAGCAAGGGGAGTGGGGGGGTGTCACTTGCGCATGCGTGGGGGGGCAGGGCAGGGGGCAATGAACTTTGGGTGTGGGCACGAGCGTATGCGACCCCCGTGCGACCCCCGCTTTTGGCACGCGACGGCAAAAAGGTTAGCCATCACTGGTATAGGGTCTCCTGCTTGAGCAGGGGGTTGGACTAGAAGACCTTGAAGGTCTCTTCCAGCTCTGTTCTGATTTATTGAAGTTTATTTACAAGCTCCTTCTGAAGTTACAGTGGCTGCCCTACTCCCACAATCATTCTATATGTCCACATTTTGGGTGCTCAGCAACCAGCCCACATTTACATTCATTTGCACTGACCCACAGTTATGCGAATGCAATTTACATTTTTGCTGGAATCCAGCATTTACTTCCAATTTCCGGCAAAAACTGGTCCCTAGCGAACAATTGTGTGCGTTTAACGACTGCCACAAAAAATGTCATAAAATCCAGTCAGTCGCATGATCTGCTTTACAACCATGAAGACTTATAACCATAACTGCCAGGTTCAAATACAGTCATAAGTCAAGGCTACCTGTAGATAGCTTTAAATCAATGCAAGGTGGTAGCTTACTGAGAGAAACCTGGTTGAAATACTGCTCAAAAGTCTCACTACAGTAAAATTATACAGATGTCTATGGAGATTCTCAATCCTCCAGGTCATGGTTGTCCCAAAGGTACTTTTTCAAGAAACATCTGGACTTTCTTTGTTTTTCCTTGAAGACATTTCGCTTCTCATCCAAGAAGCTTCCTCAGTTCTGACTCTTCTTGTGGTGGCCCATCAGAGGCCTGTGCGGATTGTAGCTGATTCTGACAGCGAGGAGGCTGGTGTTGTGTTGCGCCAGCAGCCTGTGCAGCTGGTACTCGAGTCAGAAAATGAGAAGGCTGGAGAAGATGTGGTGCCAGAGGCGGGGATTCAGTCAGGGCCTTCAGAACCTCCAGAAGCTCCTTTAAGTGAAGAGGATGAAGAGGAGGAGCCTCTTCTCGATGCACGGGCGCGCAGAGCAGCCAAAAGGCAGGAGTGGCGCCTCAGGAGGAGGTCTCCTCGAGAGTAAGGCTTGAGGCTAATTGGCCACTCCCTTAGCCTATTTAAGGAGGAACGCCGACTGAAGCAATTTGTAGGGAACAACTTTAGTTCACTCTTCTTCGCGTCTGGATTCTCTGCAAATTGCTTCTGGGCTTTCAGCCAACCTTAGTAAGATTGTGATTACTTTATCTTTGGTTTCTTGTAGGCTGTTAAGAAAGTTTATTAACAGCCTTTGTTTTGAAAAAGACTGAGTTATTTTAGTAAATTAAACTTGTACAAAAGTTTTGTACATACTTTGTGTGTGTTGTGTTCTTTGGGATCCGTAGCTGGGGCAGAACACTTCTTCAGTTCAGAACTGAAGAAGCTTCTTGGATGAGAAACGAAACATCTTCAAGGAAAAGCAAAGAAAGTTCAGTTGCTTCTTGAAAAAGCCCCTTTGGGATATAGAATTGCACAGGTTGCCACAATTGCACAGAATGGTCTAGTGCTATTTTCGTGTGTGTGTGTGTCTCTGTGCGCATTTCCAACCTAGAGAACAAAGTGTTCTAAGAAACCTAAAGTTTCACTTTGATTGGGCAAATGAAAAGCACAGGGCTGGCTTGACGTCAGTGCTTCTGGTCAGTGACCTTTCTTGGTCAAACATGGTACAAAGCTCAGCAAGTGTGTATTGTGTATTGTGAGCCACATAATGCAACTCAACCATCATGTGACTGCTGTACGTGGACACCGTTCTGAAAATGAGACTTGTGCATTCAGTGAAAGCACTGTTTGAAGAGAACTGTTTTTCACTCCTGATGTTCCGAGAACTAATAAAAGTCCTAGTAAGATTTAGCCTCTATTATTAAATCTTATCATTGGGAACAAACCTCAGAATAAGTCGAAATTGCTAGGAAAGGGGGAAGGAAAAGAAAAGAAGAAACGACTAACAGCAAGGTGGATGGACTCAGTTACAGTGGCCCTGGATGAACCATTAGAACAGGTGTCCACACAAGGCAAATTAAGGGAGGCAAATTAAAAAAAAAAAAGCATAGCAACTAAAGTATTGAAGCGGGCATGAGACGATGGATAGATTATTTCCTTTCTTTGCCGTCGTTCTGATTTGCTTTTCCTTTTCTCTCTCTCTTTTTTCTTTTCTTTTAAGGTAGGTGGCACGATTAGAAGGTAGGTAGGATAGAAAGAAAATGTTTTCCTTTAGTAAAAGGTAATATGATTAAAAGTTAGAATAAGTGATAGAAATAAGAGGAGGGGGAATGTTAGAGTAGACACTGTTATATAATAAAAGTAACAATAAGAGAAAACAAGGAATAATTGAACAATGATAGATTGCAACTTATTATAACTGTGTAGCATTATTAGAAACACATAGCATATTTTTCGGAGTATAAGACGCACCGGAATATAAGTCGTACCTATCTTTTTTGGTAAGGAAAAGAAGAAAAAGAAATCTGCCTCTGTCTCTGCGCAATTTTGCATCATTAAAGCAAACAGCAAACAGCAAACAGCCTGCTTTACTTTCATTTTCGTTTTCAGCATAGCTTGATTAGCACAAGGAAAAAAAATCTGCTCCAGCAATTTACCTCTTTCAGCAAGCAGCAGAGCCCTGCGCAAAACAGCTGAGAGCAAATCAACTGAGAGTCGGGAGGCCAATCCAATCAACTTGTACTAATTAGGTTGTGCGGAAGCTGAAAGGAACTGTTTTTTCTTGCTGTTTACTTGCAAGGAGGTAACTGCTGCGAGGCAGAGCCCAAAGGGTGGGGCCAGTGGGTAGACGGGGCTACATTTGTTGTATAAGATGCACCTAAATTTTCACCCCCTTTTAGGGTGGAAAAAGGTGCGTCTTATACTCC